TATGTAATGATAAATGCGGTTAAATTTTATTTTTAGTACACTATGTTGGCCATTTTATGGAAATGGTCCATCATATGTGGCCGGGCGTCTTAAAAAATGGTTCATTAAGTCATCATTTTAACCAAAACTCGTACAAAAATCAACATAGTGTACTAAATATGACAACTAAAAATGAATAATTTTAGTATATTGTGTTCGTTATTGTACGAATTTTGATTAAATTGGCAACTTTTAGTGGACCATTCTTGATGACGCCCTAGATGATGGACTTTTTTCGAAAGATGACCCACACAGTGGACCAATTTTAAAATTTTGCCTGATAAATGCTAATCTTTCACATAAAAATCTGTGACATATGTAGATGTAATAAAAACAAAATAATGGCAGACAATAAATTTATTAGGAGTTAAGCAATGATAAATTAATAAAAGCATTTGTACAAGGTTTTAGAAACTACATGTAATTTGTTCTTAAAAAAAAGGTACAACTCAATTCTAGCTTATAAACACTCCATAGTTATGTGAATAATTGAGAGAATTAAAATAATGTGGGACCCTCCATCTTGGTTTGTGTGCCAATTTTTAAAAACAATAATGCACAAATAATTGAAATTGTTAGTTGTATGCATCTGAAAGAATCCCCAAATTGATCAATTGTGAATATATATAATATGCAACTTCTGGGAAGGTCATACGAAAATGGCTAATTGGCCAACTTGTGTTGTATTAATTATTACAATTTGATTCCTTACTATGACTATAAATAGGCATTCAGCCTGAAGGAAAAATTGTACCAAACAGAAGAGAAAAAGAGAAGCAAGAAAAAGAAAGAGAAAGGAAGAAAGATAGATTTATGTCCAAATATCGGATATAAAAATATCAAAAGAGAAGAAACGAGTGATATTTTTATTTTTTCTAAGATATTTCTTTTATTTTTAAGTGCTCAATTCTCGACTCCGTTCCCGTTCGCTGGAGCTCGTAAATCTGGTGTGCTACAGATTTATTTTCATAGAATTTTACTGGTTAAATTAAATTAATTTTAAATGAAGTTGGTTGAGTCGAGTAAGATTTTGAGTTTATATTTAAATAATATTCAATATATAATTATTAAGGTTAATGTGATGTAATAAAAGAGAGAATTTATTGGAAATGCAGGTAGTTAAAGAAACGTGTAGCTGAATTAGTGAATTAAATTTGTTGTCATGTGTAAGGATGATAGATTGATATGAATTAATTATATTCATAATATTAAGAAGGATTTGGTTGAATTAAATTTGAGTGGAACATTGAGTTACAAATCGTAAAAACATTATCAGATTAATTAAAAATTGAATAATTTATTTAGTGATATATATTATTTTTATTTAGTGATAATAAAAAATATTTATTGCACCTATTATCAAATTAAAATATTTTTCTTATATTATTTATATAATGATATATATTAAATCTTTTTATTTATTTGTAGTATCGATTTTACTATAATAAGTGGGAGAAGATATAGTTTTTCACTTAAGTTAATGCCAAATTTATTTATATGCTCAAAATTGACATATTTTTTTATGAAGATGTTAAGTGCATAAGTATATATATTTTTAATTTATGGTTTGTCAAAACTCAAAACTAAATCTATAAATATAAAAGTATTAAATATTCTTTCTAAAATAATATGACAATACTAAAACTAGTGGCCCGATTTCTTAATCCGTATATTCCGTTACATTTCGAAGGACTGGTGTGTAGCCCTACGTACGATGCACGAGAAACAATAATAAATAATAATATTATAAATAGGTTTCTAGTTTGAGTCACTAAATGACGGAAGTGGAAACTACTATTGATCATATTTAAAAAGAGGAAAATAAATATAACTATAAATTAGGGAGGGGGATGAAAAATACTTATTATATATTAAAGATTTGGGGTCAAACAATGTAAAATTATCTTGTATAAGAGAATATAAAATTTAGAGGTTTAATATTAAAAATACCTAAAATATTATATTAATATATGTAAAAGTATTTAAAATTTTCTATATTATTTTTTAAAGATGTGAAGTAACCTACAACTTTTCTAAACTATTTTGGAAAGAGAACATATAAAAAACAATTAAATTTAAAATCTTTTGTAAAGAAAACATGTCTACAAATATTTAAATCTAACATCAATGATTTACTAGTACAACGCCCGTGTATTACACGGGTGCTTGCTAATTTTTTGTTAAAATCTAAAATTAATGAGAAAAAGTAGTTGAAAATTTAAATACCTTTTATAAAAATATATATATTATTATATATTTAGTATGCCACTTTTTATTTGTCAACTTACATGTGTTATATTATAATAATTTTTTTAACTTACAACATATAACTACATTAAGCCTAAATATATCAATTGAGAAATATTTTTATTTTCTAATGAATTTTAGTAAATATTATTATTTTTTATTATTATAAATATAAATATATTTTATTTATTTCATGTATACAATATGGATGTCAAATCGAAGACCATCAAAAGATGATTAATTTGATATACTATATATGTAAAACCGATACGAAATACAGAAGTTATCGAGTTTTAAAATACATTTATAATTCAATAGCTAATTGAAGGAAACAAATCAAAAGTCAGGGATATATTAGTCACTTAGTGCCTCAGTATGTAAAATTACAAAGAAATAAAGGATTATATTAGCACAAATGATATTAAAATACCTAAGTTAGCTAAATAATATTTATGGAATGTCCAAACCTAAATTATTAGTTATTAATATATCAATATTATTTGTCCAAACCTAATTGCGAAGCATGATTCTTTGGCAAGTAGGATTCCGAAGCACCAGAAGCAGCCACGTAGGCTCAGCGCATTCGGGAATAATATATAGGGAGGATGTGCATATATAACGAATATGTAAAAAAAATGACTAAACAATTAGTATCTAAAATATTATAAGTTTAATTTAATACAGACGTCAGATGATATCGGGACGTTACTCCAATCTAAAAAATTTGATTACACAAAATTACTTTTTTTTTTTTTTT